TTGTAAACATTTTGTATTGATTGTTTCACTGTATATAGAGAACATGTTCCGATATATGTTTCTTACGGTGGCACAGAGGTGACATGTGGGTGTCTTTATTTATCTCGTTCCCACGAGATAATAAGTCGTTCCCACGAGATAATATCTCGTTCCCACGAGATAATTATCTCGTTCCCACGAGATAATAAGTCGTTCCCATGACATAATATCTCGTTCCCATGAGATAATTATCTCGTTCCCACGACATAATATCTCGTTCCCACGAGATAATAAGTCGTTCCCACGACATAATATCTCGTTCCCACGAGATAATATCTCGTTCCCACGAGTTAATTATCTTGTTCCCACGAGATAATATCTCGTTCCCACGAGATAATTTCAGCCAATCAAAACTCAGTATAGTGGAAAAATTAAAAGTTATTTCCCTTTTTTTAACAAATGCTAAAATGGACTTTAACAATCAGGCTAATATTAGAAACCTTATATCAAGATACTTTCATGAAAGATTGAATTACCGGCAAATAGTGACTGTGTTGCGAGAACAACATGGGATATTATTGTCAATAAGACATTTATATAGACTTTTAAGGTCTGAAGGACTTCAACAAAGGTCGTACTCTGATCCATCTTCAGTTATAGACTTCGTCCAGAATGAACTCCAACATTCAGGCCAGCAACACGGATACAGGATTATGCGTGAAAGATGTCTGGCAAATGGTTTATATGTTCGATCAGGCGACATAGCAACCATTCTCCGTATAATGGATCCCGAGGGTAAGAAAATAGCACACCCGTCTTTATTAATGTATAGCCACAAATAACAAAATGTCATGTAAAAACTTGAGACACAGACATGACAACAAACGTCATATTTATAAGACTTTCTTTTCTGTATCCATTATCATATATTCCTTTATGTTATTTGATGGACAAAAAGCCTCTTCTGTATGAACTTCATAAACGCACTACCCAATTAAAGGAGAAATCACACAGCATCCAGCAGTATCAAAGCCACATGATCCCTATGCGACCAAACATTCACTTTGTTAAAGGGTAAACCCAATAGCAACGATGTTGGCCTATAAACATGAGAATACATACAGGAGAGAAATACTTTAAATGCGACGTGACGTGAGAATACAAACAAGAGAGAAATACTTTAAATGCCACGAGACGTGAGATTACATACAGGAGAGAAATTCTTTAACTGCGACGAGAAATGAGAATACATACAGGAGAGAAATACTTGAAATACGACAAGACATGAGAATACATACAGGATAGAAAATCTTTAACTGCAACGAGACATGGGAATACATACAGGAGAGAAATTCTTTAACTTCGACGAGACATGAGAATACATTCAGGAGAGATATTCCTTAACTGCGACGAGACGTGAGAATACATATAGGAGTGAAATACTATAACTGCGAAGAGACATGAGAATACATACAGGAGAGAAATAATTTAAATGCGACGAGACGTGAGAATACATACAGGAGAGAAATTATTTAACTCCGACGAGACATGAGAATACATACACGAGAGAAATTTTTAACTGTGACGAGACATGTGAATACATACACGAGAGAAAAATACATACTGGAGAGAAATTCTTTAACTGCGATGAGACATGAGAATACATACAGGAGAGAAAATCTTTAACTGCGACGAAACATAAGAATATAAACAGGACATTCTTTAACTGCGACGTGACATGAGAATACATACAGGAGTGATTTTTTTAAATGCGGCGAGACGTGAGAATGCATATAGGAGAGAAATTCTTTAACTGAGACGAGACATGAGAATACATACAGGAGAGAAATTCTTTAACTGCGACGAGACATGAGAATACGTACAAAAGAGAAATTCTTTAACTGAGACGAGACATGAGAATACATACAGGAGAAAGATACTTTAAATATGACTAGAGGTGGAGAATACATACAGGAGAGAAAAACTTTAAATAGGTTGCTATGTCGCCTGATCGAACATATAAACCATTTGCCAGACATCTTTCACGCATAATCCTGTATCCGTGTTGCTGGCCTGAATGTTGGAGTTCATTCTGGACGAAGTCTATAACTGAAGATGGATCAGAGTACGACCTTCGTTGAAGTCCTTCAGACCTTAAAAGTCTATATAAATGTCTTATTGACAATAATATCCCATGTTGTTCACGCAACACAGTCACTATTTGCCGGTAATTCAATCTTTCATGAAAGTATCTTGATATATGGTTTCTAATATTAGCCTGATTAATAAAGTCCATTTTAGCATTTGTTAAAAAAAGGGAAATAACTTTTAATTTTTCCACTATACTGAGTTTTGATTGGCTGAAATTATCTCGTGGGAACGAGATATTATCTCGTGGGAACAAGATAATTAACTCGTGGGAACGAGATATTATCTCGTGGGAACGAGATATTATGTCGTGGGAACGACTTATTATCTCGTGGGAACGAGATATTATGTCGTGGGAACGAGATAATTATCTCGTGGGAACGAGATATTATCTCGTGGAAACGACTTATTATCTCGTGGGAACGAGATATTATGTCGTGGGAACGAGATAATTATCTCGTGGGAACGAGATATTATGTCGTGGGAACGACTTATTATCTCGTGGGAACGAGATAATTATCTCGTGGGAACGAGATATTATCTCGTGGGAACGACTTATTATCTCGTAGGAACGAGATAAATAAAGACACCCACATGTCACCTCTGTGCCACCGTAGTTTCTTGTAAAATTATGTACGTAAATTAAAAAATGTGAACAGTAGAGCTGCAGTCTTATTACTTTTTGTACAACCCTCGTATAATGATATGACGCAAGTAAGGGTCATTCCATTATTATGAAGTTACTGTCGATTAACTGGAGATACTATCAGGTAATTTTGCATTCGTTTGGATTACAGTAACTAAATAATTTTGAGCAGGTTAAAATTGATAGCTTCTGAAATAAATCTATGAATATGATTGGACGGGAACGGACTGACTGGTGACGAAGTGTAAGGATGAACACTATTATATACAAACAGTAGGGGAAATTGCCCGTTCGGGAAGTCAGCATTGGGTTTTTTCCCTATTTCCCGATCGGGAAGATTCTTACTATATTTAATAACAACCTTTGCGTTCGGGAATTAAAATCACTGGTTTTTGATATTGTTCACTCAAATAACCCTGTGCATAAAGCTACAGTCTCACTTACATCCCGGCAGAGCCCCGGCAGAGCCCCGGTAGACGTCCGGGGTGATCCGGGAACGACCGGGGTACGACCGGGAACAACCGGGGTACATCCGTAACTCTGCCGGCAACGTCCTGGATGATCCGGGATGATCCGGGAACATCCGGCATTCGACCCCGGATGGAATAAAATATTTAATATCACCGGGGTGGTCCGGGATGATCCGGGAAGTATAGCTTTGCCGGCATCATCCTTAGCTCTGCCGGAACGACCGGGGTGATACCGGAAAAGCACCGTAGCTCTGCCGGCACAAACCGGGGATGATCCGGGGAATGATATAGCCGGTAGAGCTACGGTAGAGCTACGGTAGAGCCCCGGTATATGCCGGCAGAGCCCCGGTAACTACAGCAGAGCCCCGGAGGATAAAGGTAGAGCTACGGTTGATCCCGGTAGAGCCCCGGTAGAGCCCCGGCAAAGCCCGGATCATTTAAAAAAAATAAGGACAATTTGTGATGATTGAACTTGTTTGTATTAAAAGCCTTCCCATTTCCCTTCTATCCAGTATGGCATAAGGATTTTTCAGAAAATCATCATGAATTACTATTCTGGAACAATAGATATTATATTAAATAAAAATTATGTATCAAAGTTATCATTTTCGGGCGTTTTCAATCCACCGGGGTTCTACCGGGGCTCTGCCTGGATCGTCCTGGGCTCTGCCGGGGCTCTGCCTGGATCGACCGGGGCTCTGCCTGGGTCAACCGGGGCTCTTCCGGCGTCATCCGGGAACGACCGGGGAAGCACCGGCATGAACCGTAGCTTCACCTGGGCTCTGCCTAGATGATCCGGAGCGCATCCTGGGTGGTTAGTAGGGAACTACCGTAGTGCTGCCGGGGTAAGTGTGACCGCAACAATAATTTCATCCCGGATCGTCCCGGATCATCCCGGTAACTTAGGCCGCTATTCCATTTATACGTGATCAGTGGTCCGCGTCAGTGATCCGTGTCCGGGCATGTCCGTGGGTATTATTCCATAGGTACGCTATTTTCTATATACTTTTAATTGAAGTATAGCGAACAGAGGATAATTATTTGTAGAATATGATATAATTTCATTCTAATACCAAAAACAGTTGTAACATCAAATAATTAGGTAACAAACATTGGATATCAGATAAGTTTTCAAATAACATCTCTTTAGCAACCGATGACCAGATGTTGTTTTTTTTAATCTGTCATTGCTGCATCATAAACTTATACGTTCTCCTACACTATTTTGGTGACTTCTTTAGTATTTTCTTTCGAAATCAATGAAGTATTTAATTTCGTTCGAGGCATTTTGTAGGGATGAGACATGTCAGTGACTGTCCGCGTCCGTAAAAAATCGCTCAGCCTGCGAAACGTCGCGGATGCCGTCGCGGAAGCGGATGGTAAACGGACAAAAGGAATAGATTCAACGTATTCTTTGATTAGCAAATAGGTAACGGATGCGGATGACGGACGCGGACCACTGATCACGTATAAATGGAATAGCGGCCTTACCGGGATGGTCCTGGGCTCTGCCGGGAGTAAGTGAGACCGAGGCTTAAGAATATACATATCAAGTAAAAAAATACTAGGATTTTTTTTAAGCGGTAAAAAGTTAGATACATTTTTCTAGTTTAGAATGGCATTTTCAGTTTTAAGATCACATGTATATCCTTATGCACGGGGTAATTTGAGTGAACCATATCAAAAACCAATGATTTTACTTATACCGGGTAGTAACAATCTTCCCGTTCGGAAAGTAGGGAAAATCCCAATGCTGACTTCCCGAACGAGCAATTTCCTCTTTTGTACTGACAAGGAAAGTTATGAGAATGCTTATTAACTGATTACGAAACAACGATTTTTTGGGGGCATTTTGCTGTCTTTAACAAACCTATATAAGAGACAATGATAAAGAAACCATGACATCCTATAAACGTAGGTCAAGATCTAGTCAGAAGAATGTCAGTCAGTTTGGCTAGACAATCGATAATAGGTTTCTATAGATCAGGCGTTCAAATGATTCCTAACCGACAATCGTGATTTTTAATTGGTGTTATATTGTCTAGTGCCGTGGTGCCTTTCTCCTGGTAGAAGTTCAGATTAGATAAAAAAAATAACTTCTGAAATACATGTTAAATTATCCATTGAAGAAAGAGAACTGAAATTATATTTTGATTTATGTTGATGACATCTTGTCATTAGCATACAGGCTGATGTTTTTTTGTAATTTGTAAACCGACTTTAAATCATGTTTTTATCTTATATCTAGACACTTATCTTTCATGTAACAAGTTTGTGACTACGCGGTCATTTAATTATCTCAAATGCAACGTCAAGTGAATTGGATAAAAAAAAAGACCACACTAGTGCACATTGGTTATTAACACAATGATCAAAATTTTGTTCTTTACCATTGGTGAGTGGAAATTTTTATTATGATTTAATGATTACATGGAAAGACTCAATCAATAACCATTAATTTACGTTTGTTCAATGTTCACTTAATTCTAAGTTTTTAGTTGTTGCTTTTTTCCTGTTAAAGTTTGCTTTCCAAAAAAAAACAAAAAAAAACCCCACATAATTAACACATTCGATGCATGTTTTGTAATTGGAAACAATAAGGTACGTAACAATTTCTATTTGCAAGGAGCAGGACGTGAAGTGGTTATCTTCAATAATTTCATTAAATCAGAAGCTGGGAAGCTAAAACCTAAAATCGAATGTGTTCTAAGCATTGTCTTAATGAATGGGCATGTTAAAAATTGAAATAACATACAAACCCACTTACCCGCGGGCGTTATACATTTGCATGACTTGTGGGCCATTTTGTCAAGTTTGCAACCATTTCGCTCGCTTTCAAGAACAAAATGTGCCACCACAAGTTTTCGTCATGTTCCTTACAAATAGAAAAAGACATGTTTCGTAAGATTATAAGCTTATTATTTGATTAAGGATTTATTGATTGCAATATTTTGTTCTTGCGTGTTTGAGGTTTGTTTGTTTGTTTTGTTTTTTTTCATTTTTCTAATTATTATTTGTATTATTTATTTTATTTATTTATTTATTGACGTAAGCGCATAAACGAACGTTCTTTGACGGTGTTGAAAAATTGTAAAAACTTTATTATGAATATTTTCACTAACGATATGCCTTATTTATTTCTATTGTTACGTAAGATGCCGCCATATAATTATCCTACTTAATCATTGTTGCAAGGCAAAATATTGACATATGTTTCGAAAATGTAAATATGTTTAGTATTCTTAAAGATCAATTTTTGTCCAGTTACTTTAGACATAGAATTAAATGGGCCACATCTGAGTGGTGTATGACTCTGAGATAAACAAGTGATGCATTTCGCATAAATATCTTTCTTATTATTGTCAATTTTTATATAAATATATGGTTAAAACATGATGCTTAAAACGAGTGTTTCCGTTTTCGTTTTTGCATTACGTGTATTGTGTCATTATGTAGCAAAACCAATGCCCCTAGATGTTGATTTTCTTCATCCTCACAGGTGCATGTATATACATTGCTCACGCTATATCTAATCCTTCCCAACTATGTCACGAGTTGCTAGCCATTGACTGTAGGACAACATACATACAAGGAGAAAGGGATGAAACAATTTGTGGAACTAACGATATGACGTACTCAAACTTGTAAGCATTCATTTTATTGGTCTAAACTTTGAGACACTTGTAAGCCATTATTTCATTGGTCCAAATGAAGATACGCTGTAAGCACTTACTTCGTTACCTAATATACATGTATAACATTATGCATTTAGTGTAACGAAATAAAATATCCAAAGTTCTGCCTCACATCTTTCTTGTCGCATTACATTTAATCCTTTCTAACGGTGGATTTAATATATATTACACGTTTAAGCCGTTCAATACCGTAACGTAGGGACATTAATAGAAAGAGCATCGAAACACGAGGCTATCTGATTTGTACATCGGGGCGTAGCACACCCCCCCCCCCCCCAGTATAAATCAGATTGCCAAGTGTTTTGATGTTCTTTCTCTTTTGTTGTATCATAGTCAAAAATAAAAGCACGTTCCCTGTTGTCACAATATGAAACCCCAGAAAAAAAATAACCAATGAGCGAGCATCTGAATATGAAATTTCTGTCGTTTTCCCTCTCTCTGCAGTTACAATAAGTAAACCCCGGCAAAAATGAGCAATCAATGGGCATGCTCTGGAGTGCGGGTAACTAACACCTGCACTCCAGTTAACGCACTGTGCATGTATATTTATACGATTTAACTGCGACACGTTTTCAACAGAAAGGTCCCCAAACTATGATACAAAAGAAAATAATGCAGGGAATTGTGCAAATGTCCAATCTGTGACCAAAACAACACGGTGTAAGTAAACGGACTAATAATTTATAATAAATATAATCGGAAGGAAAGAATTAGAAATCGACATTAACAGATGTGTTAATTGAATCATGATATTGACAGCTTGGCATTAGTGTTTTATTCAATCGCAACTTTTCGGCCCTTTCCGTCAGTCTTCGGATAAGGACGCATGAATACACGGAACGGATGCGGTATTTCGGTCTAACCTACGCTAAGAAACTAAACATGTAAACAAATAGTAATTTAATGCTGGGAGTCGTTGACAATTATTACAGTTATTATAGATAATAGCCGAGGATGTTCCGATTGGTGTTTTACTGAATCATTTACTATTCTCCACTTCAAATCAAATAACGGGTTGATATTTGCCTGGTCACATCATATTCTAACTTCTATACAATGCTAAGCAGATACAAGAAAGTCCTGATTGACGTGCAAGAAAATGCCTTTTTGCAAACTATCTATGTTCTATGTCTTGTGGCTCTAGAGAGAGGTAGAGGTTGTTTGTTTTTTTTTATAAATTTCTTTGTCTTATTCCGTTTTCTGCATGGGAAAAACTTTAGAAGACCTTAACCCGAGGAACAATTCTGGCAAGTTTAGTTGAATAGGACTTGTTGTTTTTTTGTTGTTGTTTTGTTTTTCTTTTAAATTTAAGTACACTATGTAATCTATATAACACACGCGCGCGCACATGCACGTACGCACGCATGTACGCACGCACGCAGTGACATAAAAAGGGTTGTTTTCTTCATTTTGGAAATGACGCACGTGTGCATACATTTACAGTTGTTACTACACACAGGCAAGTTGCAGGGATGATACAATTACGATAAAGGCGGTTGGATCTTGCATCTTCGCCAATACACCTTCGACAACTGGTAACTTTTAACCCTTTTGTTTGGTGAATTAAACACTAGTTTTGCTGTTAAGGTTGTTGGTGTTTAATCCAAACCACGCAAAATATCTAAATTAACTCTTGATTTTTTTTAAAGGTAATTAAATTTAATGACAATGGTCCAGATGTGCAGGCTGATCTGTGTTTGTATTTGTTGTGCAGGTAAAATCAGTGCCGCTAACAAGCTATATATTATTTATGGTAGAAATACAAAACTATTAAGGCAGAATTTTGCATATGCGCTACTAATTTTGGAATTGGTTCTCAGTTGCTGTCAGTCTAGGTATAGAAATGTATTATATAGAATTGTGATAAAACTTTAGTTGACTGGGAAGAAAGTTTTGGTTTTGTATTTCTGACAAAAAGTATTCAAAATATCATAGGAATATAATTTGGAAAATCTGTTATATTTTGCACTATTAGAAATGTTTGTCAGACAATACGGTACAATGGTTTTGCATGTCAGTATCTAGTAATTTTATAACCATCATATTTATATGTATTTTCTTTCAATTTTTAACACCAATCTAGTCTACATAGTGATATTGTGATTAAAATGTTCACTAACAGAAAATGCACTTGCAGAAAATGCATGTACGTACAATGTCTTTATTTTACTAACATATATTCAATACGTAGGTAGAATTTCAGCGCATATTTATATATGAGCCGTGTCACGACAAAACCAACATAATGGGTTTGCGACCGGCATGGATCTAGACCAGATGCGCAGGCTGGTCTGGATCCATGCTGGTCGCAAACGCACTATGTTGGTTTTGTCGTGACACGGCTCATATATTGCTTTTACTGCTATATTTGACACACGTGATTTCTGTTGGTTTTAACACACAGCAGTCACAAGCACGACGGTAGACCCATTTCTTCAGGTTTTTTGCGCACAGAAAGATATCATCACATGTCGCCTGGATGATACTTCTTCACCAATATGCGGTTCGAACGGACGACTTTATCGCAACAAGTATGACATAAAAATGTCTGATCATTTCTACTCTAGTTATAGGCCAGTCAATATAAAGATACACCTAGAACTAATTGCAAAAGAATTTTTATCAACACCTAACGAAAGAACTTAATCTTAAGTGCTTCCCATAAAAAGTCCCGAAATTTTGCATTTGCAATTAAAAAGATAAAAGCGGTTTTATGTAGCGATTTTTTCCATTTTAAAACTTGCTCCAACTACGCTACCATACCAGTAGATTTCACGCGCATTGTTTGTGACGTCACGGAAAATAAGTATGGCGGCGCCCATATTGAATCTAAAACGGCTGTCAACAACCTTCGTTTTTACTTAAAATCTAGGAAGGTTTATATATATAGCCAATATTTTTTCAGATGTTTTTATCACAAATATTTCGACGATCACGTTTAAACAATAAAGAAATCAGCGAATAGTTCATGCTTGCGTCATTGTAAAAAAATAATTCTAAAATTAAAAATTCTTTGAAATTGCATGCAAAAATCACCTACACGCGTATTATATAATTTTCTTCATTTGCAATTTGTTATTTGTTTATTATTTATACGAAACAAAAAGAATGAATCGATAATGGTATACTTCAGTTTTTGACGACATTTTGTACTACGGAAGCAAATACGGAACATAAATCTAACATTTGGTTTATTATTTTTGTTTCTCTATTTTGATTTATTTTTCGCGTTTAATAAAGTTTTATTATTGTATGAACACAAGTTAAATTCAAGATGACTGTTTAGAAATTTCTATGTGTCATTGCCAAATATAATTATGGCAAGATCATACTGCTAGCTTTTGAAATTTGTTGTAAATTGCGACATAATAAAATTAACAAACTCATAGTCATCAAACTTTGTCTTATTTTGAATCATGGCCGTTTTTTTAAAAATTAAGTCAACAATCATTTACACTTTGACTTAGTGTCCAAAATATCAAAAAGTCATCTTCATGTTGCGACAAGGCCAAACATATGAAGAATACTTTGGTTATAATGTGGTAACAAGCATTAATGATGGTCATTGGTGTCTGGTTTATGCAACCATTTGACTAAGTTTATGTTGGTCACAATAGTAAGCAACATTGAATTTACCCGAGCACAGTTTAGCTGGGGAAACGTCAAGTATTTTACCAGCACTATTGCCTTCATTTACTCAATGAACTGTAACTTCTGTACCAGAACAGACGTACAGTACGAATAACTCATGATCAATCACAACGAATGTGACCTACACAGTCCTATGTTGCACTTATTCATTATCCTCATGTACAGACTCAATCAAACCGAGTCTGCAATTCTTATGTTATTTTGTTGTGATTAATGCTTCCGAGGGATCACTTTGTTTCCAGAATTCTACACAGTCCTGGAAACCAACCCAGGTCACGCTTATCTGACATTTTAATCAGCCAATCAGTGGTCGCTTTTGCGTTGACAAAAATGGCGGATTTCTAATCGTTGGAAACCAGACACGTGTTAACAGTTATGCAATTGACACGATTTCGAGACATTACATTTGAACAAAAAATGACGATGCCCTTTGACACTTTTTAGTGTCATTTAGATAAATGGCCTGTATTTAACGCCTCGATACCAAAAATTGATAGAATCTAATGTTTCGCAGAATATTCTTAATATATACTTAATTATTTTTCTATGGCAAAATCAATTTATGGGAGACGTAAATAATTTTCTGTAAGTTTGCTAAAATAACCTGATCAGAAAATCCAAATCGGCAAAATGTTGAAAATGAGTTACTGGCAATAAGATCTAAATGTAAACACAATAAGAAAGAAACATCAGTCAGATTGGCGTTGGGCTGTAAACCGACCGATTCAAGCAAGGTGACGGTCACTTTTGTTGTGTTTGATCATGAAATCTTTCTATGTTATTTGCATTATACCAGTGCTCTGGCATGTACGGAGGAAAGTAAAGGCATTTAGTACTGGTCAACTGGTTTACATATCCTGCACAGGAATGGCGCCGTTGCTGAGCTGTGCTCTGGTGAATTCAATTTGACTTGCATGGGTAAATAAGTTAGTATACTCTGTGTATGCCATTTTTACTCAACCAAATAGAAATGAATATTGACATGTGTAAATTCAAAACTGGTACTGTTTTAATGAAATCAAACATAAATTATATCTTTATTTGCATTTTTTAAAAATTGTAGTCTTTATTTAATTGTATTTTTGAAATAGTGTAAAGGTGTGGGGAAAAAGTTACCCCCATTTTTACAGACAGTGAATATACTTGGCATACTATTAGTGTAAGTTTATTTGAGATTGTTGAGCAAATATATTTTAAGTTTAAAATTGGCAATTTTGTTAGTATAGCAAGGATAAGGTAATCGTTCATTTATATAAACTGTATATAAACACAATTAATGAACAAATGTTTTTTTCTTTTTTTTTTCTCAAGGAAACATGCTGCATTTTAGATTAATAATACAAACCTGACGCCTAACAGCTCTGGCTATATATGCAAACAACCACTAATAAAGGGTAATACATCTTTAATTATAAAATTGAAACGTTTCATTAACTGATTTACTATATTGATGTTGGGCGGGGAGTGGATAAGGTCGTTGGCTTTTAACCATAAACCTCTCACCAATGTATGTTTTAACTTTGAGCCATATAAGGGCCATATTCTTTCATGTGAGGCGACTATTCAGCTAGCTTGTTCTTCTCAGGCGTCCGTTTGTGCCTGAAATATTGCACGGCGAGGTCCCTGTGGTCATCATTTCCATGGTTATCTTAAAAGGCGCCATGTTACTTTTATAGTGTTGGTGAGACGGTAACCACAAACAAAATATAATTCTCGATTCAATTAATTGTTTAATCAATTACTTATTACACAATCCTGCAATGCAGCCACGCCACTGTTTATCTCTTCGTGATTGTAAAGGACAACTAAATAAGTTCGAATTGCTGGAGTCTATGCACATATCTTTGCTCAAGCAGGTGAGGTTATCTGGTGTTGCTTTAAGTTTTAACACCCGAGGTTAGCCAACACATCTTTCCTATTTCGGCGCACATTTGTGTTTGTGCGCCATAAAACCAACCAACCAAACAAAATCTATTCTGCAACAATACCTGTAACCATGAGTTAATTAAATGTTGGACGTTGCTATGATAGCGCCAGCACGACAGCAGTCGCACCTCATCAGAGGCTCATACCTTATAATTACATTTTTGAGTGTTAAAAACGTTCCTTTGAACCATAAAATGGATTTAATGTGTTTTGTTTGCTGAAATGACTGTCAAAATCTTATTTACTGTAATGATGTTTATATCAGGAATTATTTCTGGAATACATTTGTTATACTTTTGTAAAATGCATTAGTGGGTGGGGTATTATTATTTTGCAGTTTAAGCAAAAGTTACTAATCATAATGATAATTGTATTATTATTCGTTGACACTATGATTTTGTTATTTATTATTTGATATTGTAATGATAATTACTTAAAACAATTTTAAAATTTACAATAAATATTGATATGTAAACTGACATCCTGATTTTGTATAATTTTCATGAAATCCAAGGTACCATGTTATTCAGGCATCATTTTCTCAGCAATGGCAGCAGCAAAAGTTCGGGACTTTTTATGGATAAATGTACATACATAGTAGTTTCAGAAAAACAAACTTTTAAAACTTTTGCAATTAGTTCTAGGTTAACCCCCAAATTAGGGTATATTGACTAGACTATTATTTTTCTTCTTATTATTATTATTATTATTATTATCGTTATTATCATTATAATTACTATTATTATTATTATCATCATCATCATTATTATTATGATGATGGTGATGATTGTTATTATTATTATTATTATTACTATTATTTTATTATTATTATTATTATCATTATTATTTTTTTATTATTATTATTATCATTATTATTACCTTTTGCTAAGTAGTTGCTTGATAATATAATATGTCATTAAATGTTGCACACTTCATATTAACAACAACAACAAAAAAAGATACCAAATAATCAAATAATAGTTTGCATTGGTTCTTGCCTTGTTAAGGGACGCAGCACTGATCTTCGTGTGAACGAGACTTAATTTTGCTAAGATCGCCGTCTATCCAAGTGAACCACTCTGTCCATAAAGGTATGATATTCTGTTAGTGCCACCAATATCTCGCAATTTCGTCCCCTTTATCAACTAGGGTGAATGTACGACGGCGCAGCAACGATGGCCCTAACAGTATTCCGTATGAACATGGTCTCAGACATATTCTTGTTCCGGTGTACAGAGTACTTTCAAACAATGAAAAGATGCAGTAACTTTTACAAGATCTCTTAAGCATTTTCACTTTGTAATTCCAGATGCTTTTTCAACATGGCAAAATGTGACAACCTAGTCCTGACGTCGAAAAGTTTACAGGTCTGCGTTAATGCTGTTGTTGGCAAATAGAATTTGCATGTACATTCTGTTTTTGCAGTTTCCATACATGAGTTTAAAAAAAATTATCTTCTTGCCAATTTCTTGTTTTCATAACTATAATTTTTATAGATATTATTACAATTTTTACATGTCGATATCTGGGGAACTGTCCGGTTTTTCGTAGCGGAACATTTATAGCCACACCTTTTCCATTCATTGCTAGGTCAACTGCTCACAAACAGTATCACAAACATAACCATGTGTTCTTTTGTGCAAACCAGGTCAACCAGTGACTATGTACTATCTCAGTGTAGCAATTGGATAACAAGTTAGCCAATTTACATAAAACACTGGAAAGGTCCAATCGTGCCATAAGACAAATGCTCTATGCTTGTAAACACCCCATTATATCTAGAATATAAACGGTCAATAACTAAAAGCACTTCAAATTGAAGGAATGTACAAAATGTATATATTTTGAACCGTGACTCAAAGTATAACGATTCCCGTCCAATGGTTAAAGGTCGTGCAAGATTCATACACACCAGAATTTTTTAGATCTAGTTCAGTTAAGACCATATCAGTTTTGACACCTTTTTTAAATTGTTCTTTTTTTTACAAACTCTCTTGTATAACAATAAATAAATGTCATCCCAGGGGTAAGACGAATTTTGATCAAATATCCACGATAAAGACACTCTACAGCACTACGCATCACATATACACTGTATTAAATCTTTCAGTTACTAAACAAGATATCGCAAAGTTTTTTCTCCTTGATAAGTTTATGCAAATTTGAACTATTTGGCATGTCAAGGGCCAAATATTTTGAACCGGTGACTGGATCTGGTTAGTTTAAGAATGGACAAAAATGTGTTTTCAAATACTTTCGTTGAAATAAACCTTTACGATGTAGATAAAGCTTAAACATGCCAACATACCGGCCAATAATGTACGGGGAATATGACTCAATTCTACGTGTGGGGCATTCTTAAGTACGAAGGCCTAGAGGTTTAAGGTGACAACAGACACTTTCCGTGGTACTCACATAAATGTCATTTAAACCAAGTTATTTTAGTAATAATTGTTATTTATTTAATCTTTGTGCATTAAATGTCGTTGCATCATCATAAAAAATAACATATTTGAAAAAAATGCCTTTGTAAATGATTTGATTTGAATAAAAATCCTAAAATTTTAAATCGTCATATCAAAGTCATTTTTTTTATTTTTTTGTCATCAAACTTTTTGGAAAAAACCATACTTATATTATCTGGGGAACCGTGTCTCAAATTTTTTCTATCTTTTCTTAAAAAAATATTACGTAACGTCAAACATTTTATGCTACTTTTTTCACCATACCTATTACGTAAATTAAAGATAATTTAAGTCGCTGATTGAGCAAAAAAAATCCCTGACACGGTTCCCTCCGTAAATGAAATTTCCTTTCATGTGCTTTTAAACCGCATATTAATTGCTTGATTATTAAAAAAAGTTTATGCCGATTCAAAGTTAGTCCGACCTGCAACAAACGAAAGTGTCATAAATCGGCTGTTCTCTCTCGGACCCCTACGTTTCACGCTTAATAATTGCATAATACACAAATTATCGCACCAGAGAGGGTCACAAGTTGCCCGGTAACATACTCTAACAACATTTTTATGACCCAGTGACATCTGACCAATTAAAAAGCTGCTGATTAATATCAGTTATAGCCGAAATTTCTTCAATTCTTAACGTGAATTTACTGTCCGTCTGGTATCTGTCGCACATGTCACGTGACTATCGGTAAAATTTGTGGCACTCAGTGGGGGGAAAAATGGAACGCATTTGCGCACCGCTAGCGGGGTATTTAATTGTTTACTATTATTATCATCAGCATTATTATTGTTTTATACCAGTGTCACTCTGCCTGTGTATTCGTGTATGAAATTTCCGTTAAAATATAGAAGTAAAATAACAAAAACTGAGCTTTCTGACAGTCTTTTAAAGTCCATGGTAGATGTACAAATAAGAACGGGATATTGTATATTTTTTTCCACCAAATTGATAATGCTTCACATATTTTAATAGAAATAAAAGGTATTACTCGATCATTATGATCTGGCCTTCTTGACTTCTATTATCATGAATATCATCTATGATCCAGAGAGATCTAGTTTCTACCGGGATAGACAATAAATTTCATACTTTGTCCCAGATTTATTAGTACTGTGTCCGATTTACTGGCGAACAATTTATTTTCACTGAGAATATATTTTAATATCTTTTTTTTATTCATAGAGAAAAATCATCCTTAGACAATCTAAAATGGTTTAGAAATTTGTCAGGGGACACCTTACCACAAGTCATATAGGCGTTCACATAAAAAATATTGTCTGTTTATGTTGTTGTTTGTTTTACTTGACATTGTTAGAAAAACGAGGTTGAATGTAAAGTAAGCCCTTTGAATCCGTTTACAAAAAATATTCAACTCAATGTAATATCTATCAGATTAACGGGACAGACAAATCATTTTCACACATTATGGATATTTTAGCAACTACATTTTTTTAATCAACCCCGTGGTCGTGCGATTTGCCGCTATGCTTAATTATTTATGTTTCATACATATATATGTTACGTACATTGGCCAACAATTTCTTAATTTATAAAAAAGGCTAAATGTTGAGATATTCATAAAAGATGTACGGTAGTTGTACGATACGTGTATTACGAGAAGTATGGACCAGTATGGACCTGTAATTCACGGATATATGGAACTACCGATTTCCCTCATTGATGCCTCAACAGGGGGCGGAGCGTTATCGATAATCGACAGGTTACGCGAATAGCCGATACAAATAGCCAGTATATAAACGATTTGAACCCCAACCGGATCTTGTGAGAAGATCTCAGCATCTAAACGTACAATCAGGCGTAATGACACATTAAACTATTAAAAATCGGCTTGATTTTAATATGTTACGGTATGTTAACATTTGAATCATATTAAGAAATAATTAATCTTTGCTTAAATATACATCCATAACCTTCTTCGTAAAATATTTGCGCATAAAACGCTTTGCTCTTCGCCTCATGTTTTGTTTATGTCAACACACGCCGATTACACAACCAAATGTATGCCTAAAATTGTTTTACTTCACTATAACTCATATCTGAATCCTTAATTTTATTGTCTTAACCTCAAGTTACCGGACAGACACTTGTGAAAAAATCTTTGAAAATATTGATAAAACATAGTAAATAATAGAGGCGACATTTCTGATAAACTGTACCCGTCTTGCTAAAACAATTTTAATGATCTGTACCCTACTTGTGTTTTCACTGAACCCATTACTTGCGAGTCTCTTTTGATGATTTTTATTGTTGTTTTTGTCGTATGTTCCAAATTTTATTGTGCAGAATAATGAAGTTATTGTGTCACAAAGAGAGGGTACATGTTTTAGTTCTATGTAAGTAACTTAAACTGCATATGAATGGAGGAGCTTCGTCATGTTTTCACTGTTTTAACTAATCAGAAAGTCAATTATTTCTTGATAGGAATAATTAACTAACAAACCTCATTTTCAACTTACCATTCATTTTTCTTTTGGAAAGATATAAAGCTAAATATTACATATGAACTATAATTTTTTTATATTTAGATTAAACGGCATTTTTGTTAGTTTTGACATAACGTCACGTATCAATAAACCTCCAAATATCTTTACAAGATTTTTTTGCAGATTACTTATTTCAACATGTTGAAAAAGCTTTACACCTACCGTTGATTTCATTCTGCTTTTTTAAACACTGTTTTATATTCTCAGAAATTCATTGACTTTCTATTTAATTCTGACATGTACAACTTTTATTCTTGTATATCTTTCATAGGCGTCGACACTTTTGGCATCTTTTTAAACGGAGAATATTCGGGAAATTTTGAAAATTTTTAATTGTTAGTGTTTCAGCTATTGGTGTTATAAAAACTTCTTTTTTTCGTTTACTGTTATTGGCTGTGACGCTGACATTTTTAAGTTATTTATTCTTATTTTCAAGTTGCCAGTCTGGATGCGAATAATTATATTATGTGGTCAATGATGGCATTGAAATTCGTAGTCTTTAACTGAACAGTATATGCAGTTGTATTCTTCCATGGTGATCCGAAAGAAAAATATACATAGATTATATATTTTATTTTTAAAAAATGATTAACAATATTATCAGTTAAACCAATTTCTCGGTAAATACTTTAGATCCCACTTTATATACTAAAATTCTTTATTACAATCATTTATATTTTCTGGCAATAATTGATACAAAATCGCAATGAACGTAAACTTTTTCTCCAATAAATCTGTAAAAAATACTCACAGGGTACAGATAAAATTCGTAAACTCACAAGTAGGGTTCACAATCACCAGCAAGTAACGTTCAGTTTACGGAAATGACCTCCTTGGTAAAACTCTTAAATTTATGTTCAAGATACAGCAATATGTTTATGCATATGACTAAATTATCGTTTGTTATTGATTACTTTAGTAGTTCGATATCACAATTCATAATGTTTAACTAAATCAACATTGGAATAAGACGGATTTTTGTTCGTGTTCAGTGTTGATCACCTGAAAGCTGTTCGTGAGTTTCGATTATTTTATAGCCTTCGTGCTAACGTTTATGTTTTGCATAACTTAGACGTTTAATAAAGTTTCTCTCTTATAATAAAAATATAGATTTACTAACCTAACGTCCATCAGTATCAATATAATACCAATATCGTAAACAAGTAAAGTGGCAGAATATGGCTGACACTAAAATCTTCTCACAAGATCCGGTTGGGGTTCAAATCGTTTATATACTGTGAATAGTATAGGTACCGTTTTAAAACGTTTAAAAACACATTTTTTGGACTAACTGTTTCCAAAATTAAATCACGAATGTGTTCAGAAAAGGTTGATAAATCTACTTAGCAAAAAATCTCATTTTAGGTATTTTCAGTGATAATTGACTCCGTTGTCACCTTAATTTCCTCTGTCAAGAGTTTAAAATCACTTTTCTAGTGGACGTGTACTCAAGTTGCCAGTTGCAACAAGAGCCATGTCAACATGG